TAAGATGCAACCAAGATCCTTGCATCTTAATCTTGCATCTTAGTTAATCTTGCATCTTAGTTGCATCTTGGTTGCATTTTGGTTAAGATTCAAGACAATGTTAATCAGTCAGTTCAAAGATCAATGTTGATTAGTCAGTTCAATGTTAATCAGTCAATTAAAAGATCAATGTTAATCAGTCAGTTCGAAGATCAATGTTGATCAGTCAATATTGATTGACTGATCATCATTTCAAGTACAATATTGATCAGTCAGTTCAAAAATCAATCAATAGATTCATCCAAATTCAGGTATCAGTCAAGATTCAAGACCAATCGATTGATCTAAATTCAAGTATCAATCAAGATTCGAGCAGTCTATTGATTTATTTAGATTCAAACAGATTTAATTTGTTAAGTGAATACGATCTTATATCGCTTCTTAAAATAATGCATTGAATACATTTAACCTCTAAAAACGACCACCTGTCAACAACGGCCACTTTTAAACGTCAGCCTTTTTTTTTCGTAGACGTTTCGTTTTAAAATTCATACAAAGACAATGAAGAATGGCAACTTTTTACGTCAGTGTCCGTTCTTCAGAGGTTTGACTGTATTTTCATATTCGAAGCCAAAATAATTGTAATATTTTGTTTTGTCTGCAAACATAGTTATAGAGGTTCAAAAATAATTATTATTATCGTTACATTTATTTAAATAAATTGCGGACAGACAGACACTACAGCAAGAAGATTGAGAATTATATAATCCATTATATTCCATTAGCATATGTGAGTATTATTAATGGATATATTTACCTTGTTTGTTTGTATACAACAACACAACATGTGGGCTATCTGCTAAGAAGGATATCTTCAGTGAGAACTTTCTAAGAGAAGCAGGGTCCTATTTAGGTGTTAATACGCCATTTGTTCTAAAAAAAATTTTTTACTTCTTGAAAACTTTAAAAACATAAATTTATCTTCTAGATTTAGAAGGAAGATTACTAATTAACTGATACTCCTGATACTCAGTAAACACTAGCCGAGCGTGTAAAATTACTAAATACTGGTGAGTGTCGCGGGTTCGCACCCAACCAACGAACAGGCCGCGTTGGAAAGTAATCGATACTCAATAATGTGTTCATGTATGTAAAACCACTGTTTACTGGTGGTTGGTCGGTGGTTCGTACCCCATCAACGAACTTTCTTCACGTGTCTAAAACCTACATTAAGATATGCACCGCCCACTTGGCCGATCATTCCCGTGTTGTTTATTCCATCTATATGTATAAAATGTATATGTATAAAATGTAATCAATGTCAACATACAGACTTAATTAAAGAATAAGTTATAAAGTGGGAAACTAAAAGAGCCTTTTCTCGGGTCTATTGTGGGTTCGAACAGGTCTATAATTGGCCATTGGGTGATGAGGAATGGAGTCCTATCATACCTGCAACAAACTGTTTATGAAAAATTTCTGAGAGAATCCTTTGAATCAGCTCACGACAGCGGTAGGGTGATTCATTAACTGTCTTAATGGATGAGAGTTGGAGCAAATTACATCTTACAAACTATAGAAATTACAGAAAAAGACTCTTCTATGGATTAAGTTGGATAGATGTAATTCGATTTATCCAAAAAATTCTTTTCTCGGAAAAGACAATGAGGAGCAGCAATAACAACAAATGAACGAAGAGAGGAGAGTCTCTTCGTTCGATTACTAATTTGAAATAATTAAATTGAAGAAGAATTCGGTAATATACGCATTAATTTTGTAATGAAATTACATTCTTCATAGAAATAAATCTTACTTTTTTTTAACTGAATACTTTAGATTTACGGTATTTAAAATAGCAACTGAATTAACAATTGAATTTTAATGAGACACTAAATACTCATGTCCAGATCATAGTTATGAAGTTTAAGAGATGTTTACACAATGCAAAAATATTAAAACTGCTTAAATACAAAAATGTTTAAATTACTTTTATGCATCTGTTTAGTATCTTTGATAAGTACAGCGAGTTCAATCCAGTTTATGTGTAGAAAGGAGCACAAAGTGGCCATAGTTAATTTCTCTATTCAGAGCACAATGTAGCAGTAAGCAATAAGCGGACTAACACATAAATTTGCATACGGATTAGGAAAAGGGTGCAGAAAATGAATTTGCAAAATAGTTTGAGAAATTTCTGTTAGAAGACGCTTAACACGATACACTAGAACAAAACGCATTTGTTCGTTTCGTAAAGGGCATTCTTTCTGAAGAGGCTGTTTACTGATGTAAAGAATGTTGATCAATTGTGTATGATTGTTTAAGTGTAAGATTTGAAGGCGATAAACAGTGTGTTCCAGCTGACCGCAACTGCTCTTCAGTGTAATACTATCCTGTAAATCTGCCAAAGTTGGAACATGATATATATATCCCACAACTGTATGTTATATCTCGCTACCATATCCCACACTAATACAGGGTGAGTTTTTTATCTTGAGACAATGAAATAACTTAATTGGATCTCATTATTCTGGAAAAAAGTTTATACAAAAGTTGTAGGGTTTTGAAGAGGCAATCAATTTGTGACCTTTTCCTTGACCTTCAAGGTCAATTAAAGGTGAAGTCTGTTTTTTCAATAAGAATGCATATTTTTATCCCTGGCAATGGAGTGAGTGGGAAATTTCACAATCGGATATACCCTTCACCTTAAGGTCTAGGTCAAAGGTCAAGATTATTACCAAACCATACTTTTTATTACTGGAATAGACAGGGAGGTAAAATCTACATTTACATGGAAAAAGTGGGAAATTTCACAATTAGCCGTGACCTTGAGTACCCCGAATTTGACCTCTGAAGGTCATCTCAAGCTCTATAATTTTAAGCACGGCTCAACAAATGCATCAAAAGTGAAAGGGCATCATTTTGAACATTTGTTATAAAATTTTTTCCCAAAATCAATATTTTAAGTAATGATGAGGAGTAAAGTGCCTCACTGAAAACAAGCACCTTAATAGTGATAGGCGAGGGGACTCACTGAAAATAAGCACCTCAAAGGGTGCAGAAAACTACTACATCCTCATCGTTACTCCTAGGTAGTGCTAAAAGTAGTGAATGCTTTTAAAGGTCAAAGTAATAAGGTCGTGAAAAAATGTAAATTTTACCTCCCTGTCTATTCCAGTAATAAAAAGTATGGTTTTTCATTAGAAAAAGCTTTTAATTTTAACCTTAAAATAATCTTGACCTTTGACTATGACCTTAAGGTGAAGGGTATATCTGATTGTGAAGTTTCCCACTCATTCCATTGCTGGGGTCAAAAATATGTATTCTTATTGAAAAAAACAGACTTCACCTTCAAATGACCTTGAAGGTCACATCTAAAGTCACCAATTGATTGCCCATTCGAAACCCTACAACTTTTGTCTAAACTTTTTTCCAGAATAATGAGATCCAATTAAGTTATTTCATTGTCTCAAGATTTAAAAAAACTCACCCTGTATAAACAATCCTTAGCAAATTTTTTGAATTAAATTCTTTGTTTGCATCTTTTGCATAGTCTGTATACAAAGTTTTGCCTACACTGCGTACACTGAAATGGCTTAAACTCTTCAAAAATACAGTCAGAACTTTTATACAACGTCCACTGACAGGAGTATAAAAATTGTTGCTGGTTGTGAAGTTGCAGACGTATTTTGTACGAATTTTAAGGAGAAATATTCCACAAAGATGGTCGCTTTTTAGAAGTGGCCATTGTTAAAGATTCAACTTCATTAATAATGTATTTTAAGCAACATTTATAGTATTGTTTACGATAAATTTATATATAAATCGACTGCCATGTATTATCTTTTGTATGACTTTACGGGAAGATTTGCAATACTGGGATGGAATTTAATGAGAATTTATATAAATCATTGCATAATTTATTCATGAAATGTTAAAACCACAAAATTTTAGTAGATAAATTACTATAAATGAGAAAATTCAACAATGATTAAGACTTTACTATTGTTAAGTACATAATAGATTGGTTCTCCAGAAGAAATATGAAAGTTAAGTAGATTATCAAGAAAATTAGTGTATTGTAATCAACACGATGTCATGAAAAACCGATATTTGCATGGAGTAAAAGCGAATTGCGACTGAATAATATAATAATATACAGAAAAAATATATAAAATAAAAATCTAATGCAAATTATTGTGACATAGTCGCTATGCTTTGCTACAATTTTTAATCGTACTTTAATTAAAACATCACTTGACTTCAGGTCAAGACCCGTAGTTTGGATATAGATAATCAGGGCATCCGGCTCCTAAGCTCACCATATCTGATGTTGATTTTCCTCTATTAAACTTTTCATATCTGGTCTCGATTTTCGTCTATTCAATTTACCATATCTAATGTCTATTTGTATCTATTAAGCTTTACATGTCTGGTCTCGATTTTAACGTATTTAGCTCTCCATATCAGGTCTCGATTTTAACCTATTTAGCTCCCCATATCAGGTCTCGATTTTCATCTATTTAGCTCTCCATGTGTGGTATCGAATTTTTCTATTTGGCTTTCTATGTATGGTCTCGATTTTCATCTATATGATTCCATCCTCGAGATTAACGAAGGACAGACAGATAATGGTGGGAATTTACAGAACTGCAATTTGAAAATTACAATTCAAAAAGAATTTAAAAAATAGATGTTTAGAAAATCCAGAAAATTGCACATTGGCGAGGCACGAACCATTAAAACTGGTTATTTACTAAAACGTTTGTTAAATAAAGTTTATTAATAGAGAATAGGTTATTTATGTACTGTACATTGTAAGGTAAGAAATACAATAGGAGTCTACTGTATAAGATCAGAGATTCAATAGGGAATAAATATACTATGTAAGATAATAAATACAGTATTACAATATTAATTTAAAGGAAATTCTTCTATTTCTAGATATCAGACTTAACATAGAAATATTTTCTTTATTACTGTGTTTAGATTCAAATTTATATAATGTATTTTGTTTTTAATTCCAGAAACGTTGACGTGACTGAATTCCTATGTAACAATGGAATAGTTGAACAGTAACAGCTGTTATAGGGATAAACTGTTCAAGAACAATTACGACAGTTCACAACAGGTATTGATTACCCTTTTAATTTTAATAAAATTTAATAATGTTAAAGGTTAAAGATACTTTCTTTATAAAAAAAAATACGCTATAATGTCCTCCATGTTGAATTATTAAGGATCGACTTCTATAAATACCTTGCAACAGCTGCCCATAATGGCAGTTCTTCCCTGGTGTATCGCCTAAATTTATCTTAATGTATCGTATAGAAATGTCATCTGACTCCTACATCCTTATACTCATTTAATTCACGTAATTAATTCCCTATATATTTTTAAGATTTAGAATTAAAACTGAAGATTTAACACATCGATTCATCATTTGTTCGGCCATTTTTCATAATTTTAACGTCCTTGTTTAGCTCGAAATTTCCGATTTAATGGGTGATAATGTTGATATTTCTTAATAAAATATTGAATTATGAATTCGATCTGTTAAAAGTAAGAGAGTATTGAGGTTAGAAACGATAACAAATCGAGGTGGTCTGTTAAATTTTAATGAATATCGGTGCGTTGAAAGGAAGGAAAATCTATTTTAACAGTAAATTATGGCTCTATTAAGAGGGGAAAGGCAATTTGATAGAGAGGAGTGGAAAGAAGTAGAGTAGACTTGGTAATAGAAAAAAAAAATAGATGAAGCTGCCAAAGAGTCGTAAGAAATGATGATGATGAGGACACGATAAGATGGAGATATCATTATATCTTTTACAGTTTTATTTTCGTCGAACGTATGTTACTGTCGTTAGAATTTAAGAAAATACTTTTTTAAGTGTAATTGCCCTTTTACTCTTTTTTTTATTGTTTGCTCTTTTTGCTTCGTGTGCACTTTGAAAAGTAATAAGAAACTATGGTAAGAAAAGGTTTAGTTCGGCAGAGATTTAAAGATTTCTTCAGGCCTGTCGTGGGTTCGACCAGTCGGTGATGGCTAATTTCATTATATTTTAATTAATTATTCCGCATTTCACATAATGACTCTTGAATTACTAAATGGAATGACCAGCAAGATTTCCGAATTTGAATATGTTACATTGTGTCTAGGATTAATTTTTAAGTGAAATTCTTTGAGATGTACAGTGTTTTAATAATGGATACAATTACCTCTCATACAATTGTCACTCTAACAGCTGATGTGTGTATACCGTTAGAACAGACCATACTAACTATTCTACAAAACAATATATTGGACTGATGACATAAGAAGACACAACAGATGAGCGATTTGCCAAGAGAGAAGGGCTGGTTCCTGTTTATTCATAATTTAATCTTTTATTATGAAATATTTTCTTGTCAATTGATTTAAAGAATACATAATTTTGCTTACAGTAGCCAAGCGGATTAAACCATAAAACAGTGGTAGTTAGTCGCTGGTTCTCACCTGACCGACAAACTGACCACGTGGAGTTTTCGGATTTTTTTCACATGTCTAAATACCTGAAAGGGGAAAATTTCCCACGTAACGTCTTCCCGGGAGGAACCCCCTTTTGCAGGTGTTGGGATGCCTTATTCCAATAGTAAAATCCTATCCATATAAAATCCTTCGAAAGTTCATTTTATAAATTTGTATCAATTACAGCCTTCAGGATGGTTTATACAATTATTTGGTCTTAGTTATTATAAGTTTAACAATGAAATAGTAATGTTAAATTATTAACTTCTTAATCTGTTTCATCCATTGATGCTTTTAAACTTGTGTAAATTAATAAAACTGGGTTTTTATACAGTTCGAATGATCTGACACCATGCAATTTGTGAATAAACTAAGATCTAAGCAACTAATCGAACGGAATTAAGTCATATTTTCTGTTGAAGAAAGCTTTCTCAGTTTAATTCCTTCAGAGAATAGGGAATTATTTAAAGAGAAAAGTGTTTAATTCTCTTTCGGATACGATAATAAAATAATTTAACTCAATTTATTTACGTTAATTGTAATTTAATATCATTCTTTATTAAAGTTTCTTTTTCATTTACTATTTTTAACTCGTTAAAAAAGAAGTATTAAAATATATTTTCATTGAGAAAGCTCAAAAGTGAGGACATAAAGATGTCAATAAATACTCTAGGGTGTTTGTTTATTGTGCTGTTAGTTTATTGCCTATGGGAATTTTCAAAGGACAATAATGAAACTGATTCAGAACTTTGTCTAAATTTCATTGGCTTCTTCATAAGAAATAGACTGCTGAAATTTAATGCCACAAAGTATCCTAAAACATTGATTGTGATTAAAGTAAACAATAGGGACGTAACGATCTCCAGCTCAATTTAAACTTGTAAGTTTCGATCTACGGTATGAAATTGCTGAATAAACAATTGTTATTTTCACGATACTGTTCTAGAACAATTGAGATTCTCTTGTGTATCGTAAGTTATAATACTGCTGTACAGACAGTGATCGAATTTTATTCTTTATATATCTGTCGTTTCTTTGATGTTATAAGAGATATTATTAGAATATCTTGTTCTAGAATTCATGGAAATTCGACCATCTACAATTATTATTAAACGATGGTGTGAATAAAATCGAAGAGCAACAAGGAAAGTCGAGAAGAGCACCTTGTTCTTTGCTGTCAATGAACCATTGAGGATTTTCTGAAGATTATTGAAGAAAATTGATTATTTTTTTTTTCTTAAATCTCATGCCAATTCTCTGTGAAGACGAGGAGGAAATAAGTATGAAAATCCGAGTCTCTCCTGATTTTTAATGTTTGACGTGTTGTAGAATTTTCAATTTTAATAAAGAAAAATACGACAAGAACATGAATACGTTACATAAATATAATTATCATAAAGTACTGTTTATTGAGAGGACATCGTTAATGGAGTGGAGAAGCAAGGTAAAGTCGTGACTTCATTATATTTCTTTCCTTCATTTCGTAAATGTATTGGATTTACCACAAACAAATTACACCGAGGCTACTTTAATCTATACAACAATATTTTGCATTTTGTTTATTGATTCGAGGTAAGTTTCAAGTAAATCAAATGGACATTCTCTTGTCATTTATCACACAGGATTGTATTGAATAAGGCAATGCAACACCTGCCTGTAAAGAGTACTTTCTACATCTCTATTAAGATATTATGTTGTTATTGGATAATAAAGAGTTTAGAATTGATTAAATGTATATTTTATCGATAGTAATTCTCGTTAATTTTTGATTTTATTTTCATCCTTTGTTCTATTTCTCCATGTCGAATTGTTAATCTAGTAGTACTATAGCAGTGTAATTGTATTCGTTAATTATTAATGATTAGGAGCATCGCTTTTTATTTATATTTAATTCATGAAAACAATTAAAACACATAAATTTAATTTCAATTTCTTTGTTCGTGTGGGCAGCCAGTATCGACGGTTGTGTATAATGATCGACTGATGGAAAAGAAGGACATTTTTTTTGTTTGTTTACCAATTATTTCACGTCAATTTGGCCTTTTTTAAATACCGATATACTCCTTTATTTACATTTAATGTGGATAAGTGTTGTTTGGTCATTTATAAAATAATATAAAAGCAATTTTTGCACGTAAAAACACGAAACTCTATATTACACTAGAAAAAGTAGTTTTATCGTGTTTAATACAGAAAATGTACTAGAATTTAAATAATTTATAATAATTATATCGCTCTTTTCTTACATAGTAAACGTCATGAAAGATCGCTATGAGATTAATTAATAACTGTTATTGAAACAATATATGTTCGTTGTAGTGCTTCTGTAAATATATACAAGTAATTTTATCGTAATCAGAGAGTAGTACCTTCTCTTGGATCTAGGCTGAAGAAAGGAAGAGAGTGAGATGAAGTGCCATATGTACTGAACAGATAGATGGATAAGACGGGAAAGTAGATCTCAGTAGTGTATTGGGCGAATAGGATAAAAAAGAGGAGAGATGTTTCAGTAGTGTACTGGGCGAATATGATAAAAAAGAGGAGAGGTTTCAGTAGGGTACTGGGCGAATAGGATAAAAAAGAGGAGAGGTTTCAGTAGTGTACTGGACGAATAGGATAAAAAGGGGGAGAGAGGTTTCAGTAGTGTACTGGGCGAGTGAAGAGGAAAAGAGAGGAGAGAATGTTCCAGTAGTATACTGAGCAGATAGGGAGGATAAGAAAGAGGAGATAGGGTTTCAGTAGTATACTGAGCAGATAGGGAGGATAAGAAAGAGGAGATAGGGTTTCAGTAGTATACTGCGCAGATAGGGAGGATAAGAAAGAGGAGATAGGGTTTCAGTAGTATACTGAGCAGATAGGGAGGATAAGAAAGAGGAGATAGGGTTTCAGAGGATAAGAAAGAGAATAGAATGTTCCAGTAGTATATACTGAGCAAATAAAGTATAAGAAAGGGAAAGTAAGTCCCAGTAGTATACTGAGAGACGGGATGAATGAGAAAGTATGAAAATAAATACGTACTATACTTGTTGAGAAATATTTCTACAGTTAGTTAAATTATGCAAAAGAGCAACTTCGCTATAATGATGCAATAGGACAGTATAAAATGAATATTAAGTGTAATGGTTTATGAAATATCGTCCTTAATCTTAATACTAATCAGCCAACTTCGTTTACCTACAGTATATTTACAAATAACTTTAAATAAAATCGCTAACATTGGCTAGCATTCTCCTAAATAACTAAAACTGAGCTTCATATTCGTACTTATAATGAATACGAACTTTTTAAATCGATACGAACTTTAAAAGTCTGGCTGTACTAATGTACTTATTTAATTTACAATATTCAATTATTGTCATTCTCGGTTGGTCTGTAAATCGAAAAATATGTTTAATTTAATAAATTTTATTATTGGTTAGAAATTCAATATATTTTAGTCTGTATCTCTTTCTTTCTTCCCCATCGTAAGAAATCGAGAGTAATGTATCGTCTAGGAAATACCAAATGTCGATTGTCACAGGTCAAAGGTCATTTGATATTAGACACGTTAATTTATTACAGGTTAGAATTAATGATATCTGTCATTATTTCGCTTGTATATAGAAAATATACTCTGATTTTTT